CACGATCTAAGCTTCGGTTAAAAGTCAGACTTTCGCTTGTGTTCAAACTTATACCTAAGCTCAAGCTTAAAATTTAGTCTCAAGCTGATGACTACGCTTAATCTTAGACTTAAGCTTACTAATATTCTTAGGTATAAGCTGAAGATAGATATAATATCAGCTTAAGTTTATGATTAAGCGCAAATTCGGGTTTAAATCCAGTCTTAGCTTAAAGCTGAAGTCCAAGCTCAACATGGGCTTGAGCCTAGATATATACACAGGTTTAAGCTCTGACATAAACTTACGTTAGGTTTAGTATCAGGCTAACGACAAAACTAACGGTTCACCGAAGACCTCAGTTCAGGCTTATGTTCATGGTTCATCTTAGGCTTAATCTAAAGCCTAAGATTAAATGTTTAAGGTCAAGGTTTAGCTTCTGACCAAATTCAGGCTTAAGCTATAACGCTTAAAGTTATGCATAATCTTTGGCTTAAGCTAAATCAGCAATACGCTTTAGCTTAGGCTTAAGTTAAGAATTAAACTTATGCCTAATATTATACTTAGCCAGAGTTATGCATATGATATATATCATTCTTAAGCATTGGCTTAATCAAACCTTTAAGCTTAAGATTAGGTTTCAGCACAGGCTTAGCGTTAGTATTGAACTCGGCTTTAAGCTACGATTTAAGTTCAAGTTTAAACTTAGGCTTATGTTTAGGCCTAAATTCTGCATCCTACTTAGACTTAAAAGTTAAGGTTTACAGTCAGGTTTTAGTTTGAGATTAAACTCATGTTTAAATTTAGGCTTAAACACTATGCTTATGCTGAAATCTAAGCTTTCGATAAATCTTAAGCATATGCTTAGGATTAAGCACAGTGTTTACCATAAGCTGAAGCAGAGTGTTTATCATTGACTAGAGCTCAGGCTTACGCTACAACTTAGGCACAATTTAGGCTTGAACTCCGGCTTTAGCTCAGTTTTCTTCATAGGTTATAGCTCACGCTCAAGCTTAGGACTGCACTATCCAGGAAAAGTTAAATTATACGATCACTCTAACCCGCAGTGTTTGTGAAAACGTGTTTAATACCAATCAATCAATCAGGCCATCTATCTGTCTATCTGTCCATCTATCTGTCTATCTGTTCATCTATCTATCTATCTATCTATCTATCTATCTGTTTATCCATCTATATAGGTATGCATATTTTGGAAAAAGGAGCAAGTGTAGATCCGCTGTAATTTGACTCTGCCAGCTTGTTACATGGCATGGAGACAGTTACCGTGACGAATGAGTAAGAACAACGACTAAGCTGTGTACAACAGGGCTGGCTTCGACACATAATGAGGGCTAAAAAGCACGGCCGCGTGAGGAAGGATTCTCTTTTCCTTGAGGCACAAGTGACATCATTATCTGCGGCGATTAAGAAAAGAAGTTGCAATCTATTCGCATTTGGAGATGAATTATTTCTTCTACGATGCCTTATAGCAAAAGAGTTCAAAAGCTGGAAATACAGCTGAAACCACAAACTGGCAGTGGTTTATTTATGCAAACGGCTCAAAGTGATGATCAGAACAAACCCACAAAACATATGCAATTAATCTACAGCAGTTGTTTCCCAACTTTTCAAGAACATTTGATATTTCCGATTTACAAGTGGCGTTCTGCTCGAATGAGGTCTACAAGGGTTGTTTGTAACAACTATTCTTTGATTTTTAGTGTAGAACATCTTGGAGCATTCGCCGTCCATAAATGCAACTACATATCTGGGGAGCACAAACGAACATCAGGTTGTGAAATCGCAATATAAAGTTGCCAACAGCGTTTCAAGTTTCAACAACCACTAGAAAAACAATCAAGAGACGTTCTGCTTAGGCAAACGGCTCAAGGTAAAGACCTGAACAAACAACAATGTGTGCTAACCAGCATGATCATCTATGTGCGCTCTTCATGCCTGTCATTTTGTATGAAATACTAAAGTATGAAGTATGAAGTATGAAATACTAATGCTAGTAGTTTCTCAATAATGGTCGGTCCTGACTATCATAGTCATGGTATATAGTAGCAAAATAACTGTCTTGTTTGGAAAGTAGCGCATTTTGGACAGGACGAATATTTAACAAGGAATACTTTGATAAAACAGTGATAAACAAACGAACCAGGATCATGAGACAAAATATTCACTCGTCACAGTCTTCCTCCGTTCATCAGTCTACCAATATAACCATCAGTTCATCAATTATTGCATTCGTTAATAACTAGAGTTATAACGCAGCAGCACCAGTATTGCTTAGAAATCTATAGAAATCACTCTAGTTGTAAGCACCAATCGAAATTGACCAGAAATTATTGTTCATATTGGCGGTATCCAAAAAACAATTTACAAATTAACCCATAATATCATGGTTAATACTTTTCATATATGCGCCTCCAGATGGTGGCATTTTTGCAGGCATCCGAACAGATTATAATTCGGCCCTGCTCAATGA